TAAACTAGTGACTTGAGGTTCCATGGGAACAAATATCCCCACAAATTCTTTAAACATCAACTCATTTCACATGCCTCCAATGAAACCATTAAAATGAACTCAAGGAGTTAAGTAGACAATTTCAAAATGTCACTTTTTTTTATGCCAAAAAACAGAGTAAAAAGAAACAGAGAAGAAATAGAGAGAAGAGAGAGAGAATTCACACTTTTGTCCAATGGTTTATTCCCCAAATGTCTCCAACAGCCAAGACTGGACTGGGCCAAAACCAGGAGCGAGGAAATCAATACCCAGTCATTTTGACCATCACTACCATCTGCCAGAGTCGGCATTACCAGCAAGCTGGAGCCAGCAGTAGAGTGAGGGATTCCAACTCAGGCATCCTAACATGGGTTGTACATATCTTACTCAACATCTAATTCACTAGGTTAAGAAATGATTTTCAAAATGTGATGGGCAGTAGTACTAAAAGACTATCTAAAATGATGAACTGATTTAAGGGTGTTAATGCCACCTCCAGACAACAAACTAATCTACATAAGTAAAAAATCCTTTCACCTGCTGCAGCACAACCTTTAGAAGTACCCAGCAGCCTCCTCACACTCTCCTAGGCAGACTTCCTTGCCTTTGCATCTGCCTTGTCAGGCGGATAAAAGAAAATCAAGTAACTGTACAGAAGACAATTGGATTTTTTGTTATCTTTGTTAATGATTTTGTTTACGATTTGACTAACTCTCACCAGAACAAACCTGTGTCAAATTTCTTTGCTATCATTGCATGGCAATTGATACATGAGCAATCTTAAGCAAATCTGCTTATTGTGCTGGGCCATCGGTATTTTTATACAAGGAGTGTTTTAGGTCAGAAAGTTGAGAGTCCTTTGGAGCTCTGAAAGGCCTCTGATTCCACTGCTGTCTCGTCTGCTAACTGACATGGAGAAACCAGCCATTACATCTGAAATATGTGCTGCCAGTGAATTCAATCCCTGAACTCCAGCAGGCTTAAAGATAAGCTGCACGAAGCAAAATCTCGTCCAATTAAATGTGACTTTGAACTAACTACTTCATCGCTTCTTGGTCTTTTGGTTAAGATCAAGTGAACTAACTACTTTGCCTTTCCCCAACCACATAGAAGACTGCATTGTTGGGGTTTCCCTCTTCGGACCACACCCTTACAGGCCTCTATTCTATGACATAAGACAAAGTCTAGCTGCTTAATGACCTAACTCAATAGGGTCTTGCTCAAGGCCACCTGATCCATGCTCCACATCAGTCCTGGCTTAGACCTGAGTTCCATCACTTATGGTTAAAGGCCATTCTTTCCATGGAACAGAAAGACTGGAAACAGTGGGCAAAAGAGAACAGCAACACAACTGGAAAGAATTAAGCTGTGTCTTACAAAGTTGGAATGCAGATGATGTTGGGGAAAATGGAAAATTTCCAGCTTGAGACACTTGAAGCCCAACCCCCTACAGTGTCAGGAAATCAGAAACTTAAACTGTCACAAAAAAATCTAATAGGCTGCAAAGTAAGACTATACCAGTTATTGGGGAGAAAGTCTTGCTGGTTGCCAATTCCTTTAAAGGGGTGTGGCCTTGGAGTTTCAAACTTTTGCATGAAACTTTGGAATACAACACTCCCCAGTGGGTCAAAAATGCCATTCTCTTGCAGATTAAAACCAAATTTGATCATCTGTGCCCATGATGCCTTGGAGGAGGAACTTCCTTCTACAGAGCAAACTAGCTGGGACAGTGGGTAGATAGGAGGGACATAAGAAACAAAGGAACAATAGCATAAGAAACAGACTCATTGGAGTGAATAAATGTGAAACCTCTACCACTACGGTTGGGTATTAGTGCTCATAAAAATCTGAACTGAGGGTAGAAACAATCCAGGAAAGGGTAGGAAAAAATAAAATGTTGGAAAATTCATGGCTCTAAAATCTCTCCCATGTTCCAGGACCCTATGGGAGACTTTTGTAAGTAAGGACAACATCCTGGGCTAGGGGCATACCTCCAGGACCTGCTGTGGTCACTCGAGGCAGTTCTGACTGCACAGCCAATAATGTGCTGAGTTATCCAACTGCCACTAATATCCAATTATGGAACACTGATATCTTACAGGTAGGACTGCTTGTGTCTCTACAATGAATGTCCTTTCCAACCTCTATTCTGAGTCAAGTGTATACTATGTGAGTGCCCTACCCTTGCCTCTAAACACATGCCCTGTATCTGCTAGCACATGGAGTGGTATTATACATTTACTAGCAAGGTCATCGCCTGTATCATTAGCTACCTGTTGCAGGTCAGATGTACACACATACATACACTCATGTATATACACATATATACACACATGCACGTGTATACAGAGCAACAATGACAACTGGGCAACCAATGTAACAGCTCCCTATCACCCCATCAAGAAACGCTTAACATTTCTGCAAAATGGTCCCAAGCCAGCTTTGATAGACACAATCATGCTTTCCAAATTCCACGGAAGCATCGAATATTATCCTAAATGATAATGTATCCTGTTCAGATCACAGATCATTTTCTGTGTCCCTCACAGATAGTACTGATGAACCCAAAGATGGAAAACCAAGAACCTGGAGCAGTATGACTCAACCAGTATTTTCTTAGCAACTAAGGTTGCTTCTAACTGTTAAATAAAATGGTGGGAAGAAAATCTGGGAGGCACTTAAAAATGTGCCCTTATGTGGTCTGCATAAGAGCTGCACAAGTTTAGCTTTCTGAGTTTTTTGCTATGTTGCAGGCAAAGGTTACATACCATCTGGTAGATGAGAGAATATGCGGCAGTATTCAGCCACCTCAAATGGTCGGCAGAGGCTCTGTTACTCAGGTTCCACCTTGCAAAACAGCCTGACAGCACGAGACTTGCTAGGAATGCAGCGCATCTCCCTGGAAGACGTCCTCACAGCCACACTAAATTTATGCTTAATAGTTTATATTTTTACTGAGTAAAGACACACCGAATGGACTCATACACACAGATAGCAAACGTTAACATTCTTTGACATTTTCCACTTACGCAATAAAGTGGACGGCATATTTCATAGATATGAGGTTCTTTCCACTTAAAATGTGGAAATTCCGTTATTAATTTAGCCCAGTTTAAAAACTGGTTTTCATATGAACATTATATTTTACCATATATCCCTCTCAATTCTACTTCCATAAGGACGCAAAATGTATTAACATAAATTCAATGTGCACCTACTAAAGGAAAAACCAAATAAAATGAAAAACTTAAGAAATAGAGAGTATTTTTTAGAATTTCAAAAGGCAAGCATTTTCAAATACACAAAGTTTAATCTTCCCTTCCCCTAACCATTGCAGCAAAACTCACCCAACTTTGAATTTTCTATTTGGGAAAACAAACAACAAAAGGAAGCAATGGTAAGAGAAGTAAATACAAAGAGGCTAAGATAAAGATGATTTTAATACATTCCTAATTTTTTCAAATTTAATTGATTTTTTAACTTTCAAGATTTTCATTGTTTCAAAAATTAGAAAAATTATGGTGACAAGAGAGATGATAAAATGACAGTCTATTTCAGTGATAAAACCTTGCAGAACACCAGCTTTTGACTAGACAGAATGGAACTAAATTAAACTAAAGTGATTTCCACTCTGACTGCTAAGTATGGAAGCCTCCAAAGTTAAGGTATAGAATCAATTGACCAGATATGCACATTTCCTTAACGAATTTCAAGAATGATCTAATGCACATATTGGAATTAACAGGCAGAAAATTAAAATTGGGTTGCTAGCAGGTGCTTTGCTGCACTGAGGAGAACACGACAACCCATCTAGTTCATTATATTAGTGATGCACATTTTAAAATGGCTAGGCTTTAAACACAAGAAGATAGCGTCTTATTGCAAAAGTCACCCATCAATCTTCCTGTCTACCAACATGGTTCTGTGCCACTTGAAACGTACTGACCCCGAGTATCCACGAAGAAGATGCCTCCAGCACAGTACACCGTCGTCAGTGCATACAACACGCAAAATCGAGAGGAAACAAATAACTCTGAAAACCAGCAATCACCATGCCTCCAAATTCAATGTGCAATGTGTCTCAATGCAACAGGCAGTAGAAATTAAACCTCAGAAACAAAACTGGAAATGTGCCTGCACAACGTCCCTCAGGCCTGAGGAAGGCCAGCTCTGTACAATGTCATGAAAATCAACTGAACTCTGCTATTAACCCTCCATTACAAATAGCATGGATGTGTACACTGAACGCTTGATCAACACGTAGTTCTTTTAAAAATCTTCATAAATTCACTTATTTGTGTTTAATATTTTAAAAACAGGTCATTTTTATGATTAAGTCAATTTTGCACTCAATAACTATTAACAGTCACAGTTGTACACTCATTTAATACCTGCAAATTATCTTGCCAATTAAAAAGCAACTAAATTCCAAAACATATTTTTACATACATTGAATCATACGAATAATATCAGTCCAACCATTCTTTACCGGCAAAGGCAGGGCTTTTTACTTTTTCATTGAATAATCAAATGAATCTCTTTTCCTGCTCCCACAAATTATCTCATAATCTACAAATTACACGCATATGACCATACCATCATCACAAACCTGAATAGATGATTCTATTTTGAAAGTTCTTCTAGAAATATTCAAGGCAACAGCAGAATTTCAAAATCGCGCTGTTTTCTATTGCTAAACACAGTTGCATACTTGCAAAAAGCTTCTCTTGAGTAAACATATACATATATATGTGTGAATATGTAATCACAAAACAATACCATTTTTTTAAGAATTGAGATAACCAACTGCTATCAAATCAACTTCATGAGACAACAACATTGTAAAAACTGTGAGATTTCTTGCCCTCTGATTTGAATAAGCTTACACTGAAGAGAACAAAACCAAGAGTTCATATTTTGTTTCCCAAAAATAGCCAGCTCTGTGACGTGCAGGCTGGAGCTAATAAAGACCAGATGCCTACCTTCGCTGGTAGCCACATTCTTCTGGGCTCTGGTCGGCGTGTGCTCTGTGCTTGAACTCACATCAGATGAGATGCTTGAGCTGCCTTTGCCTGCAGAATACAAGAAGAAGCAACTTTGGAGTTTTGAACTGGACCTTCCTTTCAATTCCAAACCAAGACACATCACTTGTTTCTAAGAAAGAAGCCGATACCAAGAATGAAGTTTATAAAACCTTGCATGAAGTATCTTTTGAGAAATATCTGACCCATGTTATAGCAGAAACAAACTCATGGCTTGGAGGGAAACTCACAGATTATCAAACGCAGTCAAATATGATAGCATTCTTGGCATGTATGTGAAAAAGACAGTACATGTGGGCAACACACCTACCACAGTTTTTTATTTGCTACCATATATCACACATTTTGCAGTAGAGGAAATAATTTTAAAACGAGACATTGTAGGGGAATTTGAAACTTTTGACTTCACATGGCTGTCTCACCTTCAAACAACCAAATCCCCTGTTTTGGTAAGTCCTTCTTTAAAATCACACAACACACTTCAATTCTGTGATTTTTTTTTTCCCCTCCTCAATCGAGGAATGACTTTCCTGTCCACGGGACACTGTGTCTGATATCACTTTCGGTCTTCACACAAGTGAGGCGGTGAGTGCTGCCCTCTAGAGGGTAAAGGCCAATGACGTCGGTAAATGTCTCAACTTGGGGCTGAGTTTCTACTGCTCCCAGCCTTTAACATAATGATACACATTAGCATTGCTCAACATTCTCCAGGAGCCACAGGAAAGTCTGTAAACATAAACCACATCTCACTGCCCGGTGAGGAAAATGCCGGCTGACTGTGGTGGGAAGAACTGTAAGACGCATTCACAGGCTTATGTCTTTGTGTATCTTCTCTTCCTAATTCAGTGTGAGCAGAGCCTTGAGCTGGTCCCTGTGAGCGTATTTGCAGCGCCAAGCTCTCAAAGGGTTGGCTTACCCAAAAGGTGGATTTTCTGGATGGTTGCAGTCTAGTAAGGCTAGCACTTTAGAACAGGGATTAGAGGGGGAAGGGAGGAGGAACAGATAAAAGAGAGAGAGAGAGAAAGATCCCATTTTTCAGTACAAGCCACCATGACTTCTTCCAATGACCACAGAAGTTTGGAAGAGGACCCCACACATGAGATGAGGAACAGCCCTGGCCAGTGCCTTGACCACAGCATGTTAAGATATTGACTCAATTCATCTGAACCCAAGGAAACGGCAAAATAATAAAGGCATCTTATGTTAAGCTACTACATTTGTGGTGATTTATTATACATTGACAGAAAACTAACGCAGTAACCACTAATTTCCTCGACAACTTAGCTCACTCTACAAGTATTTTGCAAAAAGCTCTTACATGTGGCTGACAAATACTGTTTCACAATCGTGTCTCCTGCCCAATGACACTTGCAATCAGCTGAATGTCTAAGTTTCCCTCAATATTTTAATGTTGAAATGCTAACCACAAAGGATCATATGAAGAAGGAGGCCTTTGAGAAATGTCAAGGATATGGGACTAGGACCCTTCTAAGGAGCCCCCACTGCCATAGAAGAATACTGAGAAGACATCCATGCACAATACAGGAAGGGGACCTCTCTACACATTGAAAGTTTTTTGATCTTGATTTTGATCCCAGCCCCCAGGACCGAGAGAAATAAATTTCTTTTGTTTTTAAACCGCATTGTGTATAGCATTTGGTGACAGTGACCACAACAGACCTGGACAGGACACAGCTTCAGTTAGGTGGAGTAGGCTTACAGCTTAACTTCATAGAAAAGCACAGGTTCTCAAGAAATTCAGGGTGTTGTTTGAGCATGGTAAGTGATGGGGCTGCCGTTTTGTTTTCTGCTGTTTCCTCTCCCGACTGCCCATTGCTTGCTCTCCTATGGCTCTGAACAACTCACTCATTTACACTGCCTCTGTGCATTTCACAGCATCCTCTCTCAGTCCTAGCTGAAGCAGTGCACTAATTCTCCAACAGCTTGTGTCCAGCCAACCTTTGTGGTCTGGCTAAGGTCATCATGTGTCTGCCCTGACTCCTCCTTAGTAGGTGAGCTGACAAGGTGTGCCAGGTCTCAGGTTAGATAGCTGCCAACTTGTCTATGACCTCAAGCTGTCACTCCCTTGCCGTTTGGCTTTGAGTCTGCGGTTTTCTCTGGATGCTCTGTGTCCATATGCACTAAGGGAGGTGGTTGCACTACGTAATCCTGGCAGCTCCAAATAGTCTAAGATTCCATGGGCTCATGACATTACTTCTTAAACTTGTGTAATGCAAACACTACCCATAATAGCACAAAACTATATTTTGTACCACCAAATATAATAAATTACTTTATTATTTTGAAGCCTAGCTATGTGCCAATGGGAAACCAAAAATAAACTCCATATGCTCTGACTCCAATTCAGCAATAAAATCAAAACAAAATAAGAAACACAAAGAATGGCATTCATTTAACTAGATGTCTGATGCTATTTTACTGTTGTTTAAAACTTAAATACAACGCTGACTGCTCTCTTAAGTTGAGCACACTTTGCTTCCCACAGCCAGGGTCACAAACTGCTCACCACTTTTCTGTTTGAACTCAGAGTCCTTCCCTCCTATGATAACCAGTTATTTGGTTCTCACCTAATGTGACTGAATCACCTGCATTTAAAAAATCTTATTTATTTGAAAGGCAGAGACACGGAGCAGGTGTGGAGAGCTGTCTCCCACCCACCACCCACTGGGGCTGGGGCAGGCCAGAGCCAGGAGCCAGGAACTCAGTCTGGGTTTCCCACTTGAGCGTCAGAGGCTCAGATCCTCAGGCCATTACTTCTGCCTGCCCAGGTGTCCACCAGAGGAAGGTGACACCGAAGCACAGATGGGACTCAAACCCAAGACTGGAATACGGAATGAGTCATTGCAGATACGGGATGTGGCACCGTATCTGCTCTGCTCTCACACTGCTTTGTCTGCCTTTTTGTTTTGTGCTTGTTGCTCCTTGTCAGTCCACCCATAGACACACAGAGCTCCTCCTTCAAAGTCAAGGGAAAAGTGGATAATGAAATATGGCAGAATTTTGTTACAAAGGGAAGCTGTACACAGTTTCTCCTTTTAACATTAAAAAAAAAAAAAGCTTAGGGGCCTGGCGTAGTAGCCTAGTGGCTAAAGTCCTTGCCTTGCAGGCACTGGGAACCCATATGGGCATCAGTTCTAATCCAGGCGGCTCTGCTTCCCATCCAGTACCCTGCTTGTGGCCTGGGAAAGCAGCTGAGGATGGTTCAAAGCCTTGGGACCCTGCAACTGCATGGGAGACCTGGAAGAGGCTCTGGGCTCCTGGGTTCAGTTCGGTGCAGCTCTGGCTTTTGCAGTTGCATGAGGGGTGAATTATCAGATGGGAAATCTTCCTCTCTGTTTCTCTTCCTGTCTGTATATCTAACTTTCCAATAAAAATAAAATAAATCTTTAAAAAGCTTAATATGTAATGACTTATATATTTACAGTGTACACTATATCTCAGTATTCATATATAATATGACAATTAGGTCAGTTATTGCTATGAGCATCACTTTAAATATTTATCTTTTTCTTTGTGTGGGGACCTTCATGCTAAGATTATCATCAAAATGAAATGACAGATTTCAGAGGGGACTCATGAACATGCCTGAGCAGAGCTGTACAGACTCTTCAGAGGCCATACATGGCAATGCACAAAATGCAGGTCTGTGAATGCAATTTATAATAGCTCCCATTGCATGCAAATGTCATGCTGAGTTTTCTAATGCATTGTTTACTTGTTGATTTTATCAAGTATCCACTAACCCCTGAGATGGTGCTTCACATTTTTCATCATTGAATCTGACAATCAATTGCTTTTTATTTTTTCCTGGTTATCTCCCACATTGCCCAATGAAACCATAACACCTATAGCTGTTGGGTGTATATATGTTTCATACATAAAGATGCAAAGCATTGACCCTCCACAGATCATCCACCGTACATTCTTAGATAAGCAAGGCATTTTCATAATTATGGTTTTTAAATAATTATCATTTCTTATATTTAAAGATGGGGAGTAAGGCAAACAGACTGAGAGACCTCTCATCCACTGGTTCATTTCCTCAAAAACCCATGCTGGCCAGGTCTGCACCAGGCTGAAGCTAGGAGCAAGCAACTTAACCAATAACATCAGTAAAAAGTAAAAAAAATATTTTATTCGCAAAGAAGTTGTACGTCTAAACCAAAATACTTCAAATACAAGCAAGATTGACTGTCAAAGAGTTCGGGGAAAATTCAGATGGGCCTTTAACTCCACTTTGCACAAGCTCCTTGCAGCCCTCATGCACATCCTCTGAAGTAAGAACAGTGCTTTGTATGTAAGCCCAAAACATACTCCTACAAAGTTCTGTAACTCCAGGCCCTTCTCACTGGTCACCCCAAAAGACAACCTTTGAATAATGGCTACCTGTGGAGTGCATCATCAGAACTTCCAAAATGCACACAGATTCCCTGGGGTAACACACCACGGAGTACTTCACACCTGTTTCTTAGGGTGAACACGGCAAGCGCCCATTCACTGGTAGGCTTAAAATCTCTGAAACGCATTATCCTATGGGTGATTCAGGAGTCCGGATGTCTGAAGTCACAGTGTTGACACAGTTACAATCTTTGCAAGAGCCTGAGAGACAACCTGATCTGGTGTCATTGCCAGCTCCTGGAGGATGCTAACAACCCCATATATTTTGTGGCTTGCTGCATCTGAATGGTCTAGCTGTCCTCTCCTCTGCCAGTCTTTGTGTAGCTTCTTATGAGGTCAGCAGTCAGATTGGATGGAGGGCTACCCTGTCTAGTAAGCCTTCTACTTAAACAAATACATCTGTTGCAATCCTATTTCTCTATAAGGTCACATTTAGGTGTTTGAAAAAGTATGTGAAAGCAGGGGGGAAGAAGGAGAAAGCAATATTCAAGCCAATAGGCATCCCAAAATCATCTGATTTAAAGAGAAAGTATAAAATCCCAGCCCATGTCTCTCATAGGGGCATTTGTTCAAGTTTCATTGCATGACAGCATTATTATGAGTCGAAAAGA